TTTGTCTTCAGCTCACTCATTCGATTACTCTTTCTTCCTATCATATCCATTTTTACAAACCATGAGTAATGCTTTAGCCATCTAAACGTCATGAAATGTTTTTTATGAATATAATTTATAAAACAAAAAAAGGAGGATCAAGGCAATATACAATTGATCGTAGTACAATGTTTTGGACCAAGTCCAATGTGATTATGTCGTAGAAGATAGAACTACTTATATAATGATACTCAATAAGTCACGAAGAATAAGTCTATTTATATATACTTTACAAAAATATATGACAGATGGTGATTATTCTCTTCAAATATGCCAAAAAAAAAGACGTCTAAAAGTACAAAAATCTTGAAAAATTTCAATTCAAAAAATGTTTTTCGTTTTTTCTCGGTTTATGATTTTTCGATTTTGCTTCCAAGATTTCTCGGTCCAGGCTCTGTCAATATATTTAACTTTTTTGTTTGCTTGAAAGAGCGAGTCGAGATGCAGGGCACCACAGTCCTTTTTTTTAAATTAAGCTTAGTTTTTTATTATGTATACAAATATAGACACCCATTTTCTGGCGTGTTTTTTGAGCCATTGAACTTGTGATTCATTTTTTCACTAAAAAAGTAAGAATTAAAAAAAAACGACTCTGAGGTGCTCTTTCAAACAAAAAACAAATTTAAACATATTGCCAGAGCCTGGAGCGATAAATCTTGGAAGCAAAATGAGCTATTTTTGACCCTTGTTTGGTTCATATCTCTGTCAAACGTCAGGATATCGAGGTGAAAATTTTACCACAGCCTCCCCACTTCAGTCCCAACATATGCTCCCAATTTCAGCCCATTTGAACGTACCTGAGCTGAGATCGATTTTTGAGTGGGGAGGCCTTAAAGAGTTATCTTCGCAAGTGAGAGTACTTTAACACATCAGAACTTTCACAGATAATTAATTGTCTTAACTAACTAACTAACTGTATCTAATTAAACGACGAGAAGTTATAAAATCTTAAATCGGCTCATTGGACTTTTATTATCTTATTTCAAATGAAAGATTATATTGAGATAAACACTTTTAGTAACGGAATCTATTATTTTTTTTTAACGGACAAATAAAACATTTGAGCAAGATTAAGATTCGATGTTTTTGAGCTTAAATTGCTTCCATGATCAATCTGATATAGTACTCCTATTCGTATAACGTGAACGGGAAAAAAAAATATTTTTTTCTACTTCAATTAGTTTCGATTCTGAAAAAACTCTTTAGACTGTTATACACGTGCCTTGTTAATCTTGGATCTTTTCAACGACATAAGTAAGCATCATCAATTTTTAAATAAAATTAGCTCTTTATACCAGCAACAAAATTCATAAATGAAAATTCGATGATTGATGCGGGAAGACATCTCAGAAAGGCAGAAATTGCCATTTAATTGCCAATTTATTTTCGCTTAAAATGAGTAATATTTCGCGTATTTGTTATCTGATGATGCTCAAAATGATAAATGCAACATCAGAATCATGATTAACACCAAAAACCGAGCCAATCTATATATTTTTCAAAATTATCCGATGACTTCTATTTTCGTAGAATAATTTTGACTGTTAAAACAGCAAGTTTACAATCTTTAAAATCATGATTGAGCGAATAAACCAACATGAATAAACAATAACAATGATGTTTTGTATTCCATGAAAATAAAAGCCGTCGGAGAGTTTTGAAATATATATAGATTCACTCGGCTTTTGTTGTTGATCACGATTCTGGTGTTACATTTATTATTTTGAGCATCATCGGATAACAAATACACGAAATATTACTCATTTTTAGCGAAAATACATTGATAGTCCAATGGCAGTTTCTGCCTTCCTGAGATGTCTTCCCACATTGATCATCGAATTTTCATTTATGAATTTTGTTGCTCCTATGAATAGGTAACTTCATTAAAAAATTGACGATGTTTGCTCATGTTGTTGAATAGATCGAAGGTCAACACTGAACATGTGTAACAGTCTAAGGAGTTTATTGAGAATCGTAACTATTATTGGCGGCAAAATTCAAGGTACTAAGACATTTTTTGAATGAACAAGATAGAGACCTGCAGTTTTCAACGTCTGTTAGCCAAGACTCAAGAACATATTTTCACAAGCAAAATCTTTTCTGAGAAGAAATCATAAGATCAGTTTTTTAGAGGTTCTTTGATAAATCATGCTGGATTTCTGCAAACTGTCATAGGAGTATGTTGATTGTTTTTACATACTTCGAATCAGCATCGACAACTGAGATGACTCATGTAAGCTTTGAATCTTTTCGCGAACTTTTTTTTCGTCGAAAAATGGACTCCTAGCTTCCCTCAGGAGTAAATCAAAGAATAAAGTCAGTCAAAACATCTTTTTTGTTGTTTACTGACTTTATTTTTGACCTACTCTTGAAGGAAGCACGGAGGCATTTTTCGGTGAAAAAACAAAAATTCGTAAAAAGATTCGAAACTTACATGAGCCGATTTACAGATCCAACGTAGGTTTCCAAAGAACCTCTAAAAAACTGATCTTAGGATTTCTTGTCAGGAAAGATTTTGCTTGCGAAAATATGTTCCTGGGTCTTGCCTATCAAACGCTGAAAACTGCAGATCTCTATCTTGTTCGTATGGAACGTTATTCAAAAAAACATCCGACGGCCTTGAATTCTGACGCCAATAATAGTTGAAGTGGAAAAATATCTTTTTTTCACGTTCTCATTATATGAATTGGAGTGCTATATCACACTAGTCATAGAGGCCATCAACAACATCGAATATTGATCTTGCTCAAACATTTTATTTGTCCGGAAAAAAATAATAGGTTCCGTTACCAAAAGTGTTTATCTCAATACGATCTTTTATTTGATGTAACATAATAAAAGTCCGAATGAAATAAGCCCGATAGGCCGATTTACGATTTCATAACCTCTCGTACGTTAGCAAAATAAGAAGAGATTTGATAATAACAATATGCAGAAATAAACAAAGTCCTTTTCATACTTTCCAAATAGTAAACATTTTTCATTTATTATTGTTTGTTTCATTCAATCAAATTAAAACTGTTTTTTAAACATTCTTCTTTTCTTATGTATTATTCTTGAGAAAACAAACTTTCTAATAATCATCGTCTGACTTTGAAAACTTTTGTGATTATTTTATAAAACTTAAAAGTTGATTCAATTTAATCACAAATTATTCTAAATATTTATTTATCTAGACGGTCCTCAAATCTTTATTGTACATATCTCATTTGAAATTAAAATATCGTCAGTGTGAATAGATATTTCAATAATGTTTTTTTCTCATTAATACAAACAAATTTGACAGGAAAAATGAGAGAAGTAGAAGGGAATTGTATTTTTTTTTTGATCGATTACGTTTCAATGGATTATTTATCATACCATGAAATCATTGACATTTACATATACCTTTCTCACTTAATTATCTAGATCAAAAAGAAAAATACTTTATGAGTGCATAAACTTATATGATGTACAGGTGAGAAAGTACAATCGTCATAACTTTTTTTTTTAATAAACACAGAAAACAATATTGAAAAAAAAATAGTATATTTATTTGATCAAAGTAAACAAAAATATTTTGGACAAAATACATTGCCGTTGTTAAGGTGGATCATTTACCTTAATTTTCAATCAAGTTTTGACCAGCAACTTAGTCGTTAATATTAAAATTAAATTTTTATTTTCAACACTTAATTCACTTAAACTAATGGAAAATTTTCGAATCTGATCTTTTATCAAGAAATTTTCATTGTATGATGATACCAATTTCTCTAAACGCTGACTAAAGATATTCCTAGTCGACGAATTCACATTTTCATGGTATTTCTTTTATCTAAACAGCATTTAGTATGACTTTGTCTTGACGAACTAAGAGAGGTGATGCTATAACCTTATTTACTAAGATAAGTCATGTGAACTCCTGCTTGACTAAGAGTAATCAATGATATAATCTGATAGGTTGATGAAATTCTTTGGTAAAACAGTTTTTTGCAATCCGACAATCATCGATCAAACTTTAGAAAATCGTTATCTTGTAAAAATAGCCTTCTTTTCACTAAAAAAAAATCGATACTTAACGATATTTCCGCGACAAATGAATTAAGCGTTATACAGATAATTCAGTTTCACTATGCAAAAATGGACCATCCCTACTGAATATGAACTCAAACATTCATATCATTTATAATATTTGCCATTTCCTATCTGTCTTGAAAAATTAGTCTCTCAATTGTTTGATTCATGTCATTTTGTTTTGTTCATTCATTATAGTTGTTTTTTAACATCATTCTATCTCTTGATTCATCTGCCTCTTCAACGTAATCACATTTAGCCTTGTTTTTCATCTTAATATCACTCTCTGTTTGTTTTTTATTTTGCATGATAGAGAGAAGAGAAAAATATCAATCATCCTTACCTTTCTCTTCTTCTAACCACATTATATATGATTCATTATTCAATAAGTATAAGGACATTTTGCCTCGGTTTTCTGCTTTCATACAAGATAAATGAATGTCATTCAAATATTTTCTCCCGATCGAATCATCATTATGCACGAATGATTATTGTAGCAAGCCATAATATAAAAGCGAATGTTTTCTAATGGACTCTTTTCACATTTTATTTTCGTTCTTGATGATTAGTCAAGAGGACATATAATTGTGTTCATCATCGAGCCATAAGTGTCCCTTTGGAACTTGTCAGACTTCATTGCTTTATTCCTGTTTTTATTCTAACTATTCTATATTATGGAGAGACTTTTGTTAACGTAAGTAATGGTTGTGAAGGCCTTACAAGAATAATATTTTCTTTTGTCAATGCTATATTTATTTAATGGATATTATACACTATCATATATACGCTTCATATTTTTTTTACATGGTATAAAGACGATAGTTTATATTCAATTATTTTAGATGATTTCAAAGATGCGTTTAATTCTCTGTGTGATAATATTAATATACTATGTAAAATATTGTCAAATGTCAACAGAAAAAATGTCTGTCAAAGGTAAATATATTGTTGATAAGTGTGGTCGTGTAAGAATATTTCGCGGTATTAATGGTGTTCTAAAATATTTTCCATGGTATCCTTACAAAGCACCTGATCCTCCTTTACTTGATTCAAATTATATGTCAAATCTACGTGATTGGGGTTTTAATGTTATTCGTCTTGGAACAATGTGGGCTGGTGCAGAACCAGTGGAAGGACAATATAATGAAACATATTTATTGAAATTGAAAGAAATTATTGAATTAGCTAACAATTATAACATTTATATATTTCATGATATGCATCAAGATCTTTTAACAAGTGCACTTAAAGGATTGGATAACCTTAGTGGATATGATGGTATACCACTTTGGTTATTTAAAAAATTTAAACCTTGTGTGGACAATAATAAATTTACTTGTCCAAGTAAAACTGGTATAAAACCATGTGTTAAGTATCCTTGTCCATTCCAACCCGGTTTTGACAGTAACGGAAATTGGTTTTTTAATTATTTTACATCAATTTGTTCAAGTGGATTTCAACAATTATATAAAAACCAGAGTGGAGCAATTGATTCGTGGAGTAAATTTTGGGTTAAAATAGCTGAAACATTTGGACCATATTCAAATGTATTAGGCTACGAATTAATTAATGAACCATGGTTTGGTGATTTTTATAAAGATCCATTCTTACTTTTACCTGCTAAGGCTGGTCATGAAAATTTATTACCAGTTTATGATATATTAAATCACGCTATAAGAACAGTTGATACTCAATCATTATTATTCTATGAACCTGTAACTTATGGAGTTTTTCTTCACGGACCTTTTCTTGGAACAGGTATAGTTACAAATTCTTCTATTTATCTAAATCTATATTAACGTATATACGACCGAAAAAATGCTTACAACAGAATTAGTATTCTTGTAAATTTACTAAAAATTTATAATATAAATTAAATGAAAGTGCACCTAACTAGAGTTCATCGAGTCTGGATGTTATATATTTTACACTCAACACTCTCCCATCATCTTTTATAATGATCTATTGAGGTACATCTTTCACTCGAAGTATCTACACTAGAAACATAAGAACAATTTAAGTGTCAAAAGTTTAAAACATTCTTCTGTTCAGGTTTTGACATGGTTCCTAGTGGTCATTCATATGCTAATTTAAGTGTATTATCTTATCATTGGTATTGTACAACAGCATCAACTATTCCATCAAATGTATTATCAATTATCCCATCCAATGTATTATCCATTATTCCACCAGAGCTATTATCAATTATTCCACCACAGGTATTAGCACTTATCCCGTTAGATGTATTACAAAGTATCATATCACAAATATTATCAATTATCCCACAAGAGGTATTAACTGTATTAGCAACAGAAGTATCATGTAATACACAAGGTAATATGTTATTTCAAGCGGTTGACCAAGATATTGAACAAACGGGTGGTTCATCATTTTTAACAGAATTTGGATTTGATGGAAGAACTGATACTGGTGCACAACAAAATTATTTTACTTTGGATAAATGTGATCAATATTTTCAATCATGGACTGTATGGGGTATGAGTTTTCTTAATGAATCCAATCATATTCAATATGATATTCTATCACAATTTAATCGACCATATGCATATGCTATTGCTGGTCAACCACTATTAATGTTCTATGATCGTAGTAATACACGTTGTTTCACATTAAAATATGCAATTGATCTAACAATTACCTGTCCATCACTAATTTATTTACCTTCAACGATTTATCGAACATTAAATGGTTATAGCATTACATTAACATGTGAATTGCAATGGAGTGTTAATATAGAAGATCCAAATTTAATTGATATTAAAACAACAAGTTTAACTGAAAATGGATGTTGTGCTATCGTTACAATATGTCCATCTTCATCTTAAATTCTATCATATTATCTATTACCAAAACTATTTATACACTTTTTCCATAGTAAATAACATTACAAATGTTATTGACTAGAACTTGAAACCTATTAGATAGCTCGTAATTCCTTAAAATTACTTCATAGCTATGTTTAATCGCGCTCTTTTGGTGATAATGCTCTTATCAATCATTTTGCTTTGCAAAAATATAAAAAAATAAATATAGATTCTTCTATATATTTTTACCCAATATTCTCCACATGAATTTCGAAGAATAAATGATTGTGATTGATCAGTATAGTTGATAGCCATAAGAGTATCATGACAAAAAAAAAGAAATTTGTTTTTAATTTTTAATCAGATAGAACCTATCTGCCATATGATTATCGACTACGATTGAATGCGCTTGGCATTGATGCAACATCAGATTGAGCTGCTTGATCGAATAAAAAAAAAAAAGTTTCAAACTAAATACAAATGAAAAATCTTCTGGTAAACAAGATTTCATTTCAGATAAATCAATACGGATTTGTGACACTTCACTAATCTTGTGATGTTTCGTTTGTTGATAAGCTTCATCATTTGGACGCTCGTTGACTTCTGAAATATCATATGGCCAAGGTGATTCGAGACAAGTTCAAAATTCTTCAAGTGCTTCAATAGCACATGTCTTTGTCAAAAAGGAAACAGCGGACTTCAATTATATAAGCTTTCAAGATACCTTAAAAATCACCTAAAATTTCTGTAGTATGAAAAAAACGCTACCTGTTACAATCATGCAAAAGAAAGAAAGAGAATGTATTGTATATGTGATATTTCTCAAAAAATAAAAAAAATTCTTTTGAATTCGGTTTGTGCAACATGAGTTCCTCTATATATTCGGATTTGAATAAAACTCAAATATTTGTAAGTATTTTCTGTAGAACTTGATGAATTTTACAATTTTAGCTAACTTTCACCTCTATGAAAAGCACAATTTTTGTATAATAAGAAGTATTGAATCTTGATCAATGACTTATATATTACACATAAGATTCAGCCATTTACAGATCAAAACTATTGAGGTTGAATGTATGATAATAACCTAATATTACTTCGATGAAGATTTAATAAGTACTTGTTGAGATCATTATCCATGTCCTTATATTAGGGCTGTTATAGCCCCCCTACTACAGGTCATTTTTCGAGATGTTGGTAGTTCTTTTTGACCTTGAATTTTATATGGGAAGACGCAGCTTGAGAAGTTCTATAAGATGAGATAAAAATTTTTTGATGTTTTGACAATTGAAAATATAAGAAGGTGAAAACTAGGAAAATAGATACGTTCTTGTACACTTATATTTTTCATGGATTCTGATCTTTACGGCCACATAACTCCAGATTTCAGTAACAAATACATTTCATAATTTATAGCATTTTGTAGAATACACCAGTGGCCATCCAATGAAACTTGAAAGAACTCGATTGCTTTAATTGTTTTTGAGAAAATATCAAAATAGGAACCTCGGTAAAATTTGGGTCAAGAAGACATGAGAATCGGCGGGGTGAAAAAAAAGTCTGTCTGGGTTAAAAATTTTGTACGAGAGTTTTAAATCGAAAAAATTGATCTCTAGCCACAATGTTTGGTTGTCTGGCGGAACCTCTCTTAAGCACATGTGAATCTGATATTACTAAGGTATTGCGCGAGGTTGCAAAATTTTTAGTCAAAGTCTTGATGCCTGGAAGTCTTGTAAATGTCGAGTCTCACATTTAGTGAATGAATTTATATTCTAAAGTCTGTCAAATGCAAAGTTTTTATTTAAGTGACAGTCTTGATGTCGTCAAGTCTCTTGAACGCAGAGTCTTGAGGGTGTGGATGTGAGTAGAAGAAAGATGTACATCCAGACGCACACTCACACCCACACGCCCTCAATATTAATTTCTCTTTTTATAAAATATGTTATAATTTTAGCTTCATTTTTTATTTCTAAAATTCTTCAACAACATGATCAATCTTCTTTTTATTCTTTGTCTTTTGATGGCTCTAACAAGGGGAACATAAAGATGTTTCCATTCATCATTAATTACTTTACAATTAAATCTGGTCTTCTGAAATCTGTATTAGAAATTGTTGAACAACCACGTGAAGCAGCCGATAATATTGTTGATACATTACATGATGTATTAAAAAAACATAATCTTGATATTATCTATTGGTGCTGATAGTACCAATATAAATTATGGTCAGCATCATTCGGTTTTTAGTATCATACAGCTTGAAGTTTTAAATTTGTTCAAAGGCAATAGTATAATTTAAAAAAACAAAATCCTTGTAGAAATGAATCTTTCTTTTCTTAGGGAATTGTTTTTGCCATGTTTTATCTAATTCGGTTAAAATTTCTCATCAATATTTACCAGTTGATGTTGAGTCGTATTTATCTCAACTATATAGCCATTTTAGTTCACCATCGAAATGTGTTGCTAAATTAACAGAATATTTCGAGTTTGTCGAAGAAGATTATTTAGTGAGTATGCTCAACTCTTTATATTTTTATATAGATAAAAAACTGTCATCTGTTTAGAGTTTACTCCAGCGTATAAAACTTCGATGGCTTAGTTTATATAATTCAATTGATCGATTATTAAAAGTTTATGAACCATTATCTTCATATTTTTGTGATCTTAATAATGAAAATGAAGATATAACAACATGTCCACCGATGATCAAGGCCTTTTTTTCATCAAATATGTCCAAATGCACGTTATACTTTTTGCATCAAAGCTTATTTGATATTCAAACTAAGAATTTGGAACTACAACAATATAGTACATCAATTGCTGATTTACATAGAATTATCACGAGTCTATTCAAAAAAAAACTAAACGATCGACTTGAACAAACATATTTTGGTTATAATACACGTTTATTATTAAATTCGATGTCAAAAGACGAGCAAGAAAAAGCAACTTCTTCGTTTACGAAATATTTATCGAATATCATTAAATATATAAATAAATATTATTCGGAGCATTCTTTATTAGCTGAAACATGATCTATTTTCGATATAACGGGTGGGGCAAAAGTTTTGCATTAATTTTGTTTTCGATATAACTCTGCAACGTAATGTCGTACAGACTTGATTTTTTTCGTTAGAGAGAGCGAAGTGTCTAGTGCAAAAATATATAAAAGAATTTGATTTGTAATGCTTTTCAAAGGCCACAATAGTTTTAGAACACAATGCTCCGAAAAACTCTTCCGCAACTTTCGTCACATTTTTTTAATCTAAAAATATTTGTTTGAGCCTTTTTCATTAGCCACTTTCGACACTTTCGAGCACTATATATATACAGTTGTTCATTACAACGGAGGTTTTCATTTGGTATTAAAATAATTGATATAACATACAAGAGAATGAACAAAAGACACGTTGATAAAAACAAATTAATTGTTCGAATTTGGCTTTGCAGCGTGAAAATAAGTTTTTTTTCTGAATATCTCATAGAGAAGTTGCGTCCTATTCCAAATAATATCATTTGGTAGAGGACTCAATAAACTTTCTTTTATAAAATATATAGCTCCTAGCAATCTTTCCTGCGAAATAAAGTTTATTTTTTCGATTGCTACCAACAATGATGAAAAATCGATGACACAGACGATATCATAAAAGCGTTCATTTCAACCGTTATAAAACATGTAGAGAATTTCTTTTTTTCGTAACGCAATAGTGCTCTATCCTTATATTATAAAATCCGGATTAGACGAATAAAAAGATAACCTGTCTAATTATAGGAATTTTTTTCTAAGTTCAAAAAAGTTGCGGAAGAGTTTTCCAACGCCTTCTGTTCTAAGATTGTTGTAGTTTTCGAAAAACATTTCCAATCAAACTCTTTTATATATTCTTGCATTAGACACTTTGCTCTTTCTAACAAAAAAAATCAAGTCTTCATGACATTGCGTTGCAGAGTTATATCAAAAACAAAATTAATGCAAAACTTTTGCCCCACCCGTTATTGTAAATCGAACTTGTTATTTGAAATCGTTTTAGAAATACCATTGACACGTTGTATTCACAATTGAAGGTTGCATAGTGCAGAAACCACATGTGCAAATGTAGTGATCTTGTCAATATCAATTACTGATTGCTAAGTCTCTTTACTGGAAAATTTATCTAGTCGATAAACATGATAGTGTATTGTGCCAAAACCTTCTCTGAAAACTCTTGATTATTTTGGTTTTTGAAATGATATATCATCTGGCCAATAATAAATCATTAGCACTACGCAAGTACTATAAATAGTAGAAAAATCACATTACTGCGGTGCACTATAGAAGTTAAATGATAAAGAACAGTTGCAATCCCCGCCCAGACTGGTCGATCCCATCTATATACAGATAGATAGATAGCACTTTACCTCTACTACACAAGTATATATACAAATTAAAATAATGTTGTGTAGTTTTGATACATGACTTAAAAAGAAAAAGGTGGGGCTAGACTTCTGATCCACACTGTATCTTAGTGTACA